ATGACGCGGTTATCAGTGATGATTATGTTGATGATAATAAAAATAATGATAAATAATATTAATAATAATATTGATGATGATAATTTTGTAAAGGTGGAATATCAGATTACCTCTATATGTATACGAGTATAATAAATCAGAAATATATTGGTACCTTATTCATCTAAAAACTACATAAATAAAAAATAATCCGACGACGTACCCAAGTACAAGCCTTTTTTTTTATTCAAAGCCTTTTTTTTTTTTGTTACTTATTTAATATTTTATAATTTGTTGCTTTACCCACATTTCTAATGCAATTTTCAATCTTTTTATGTGTATATGCGAGTACATTAAAAATCAATAGTCTATTCACATCTCTATATCATTTTACATGAATTTGTATATATATGTAAGTAGTAAAAAAAATAAATAATCTATTTTTACGGATTTTAAAATACAATAGAAAGAAAATGTGATATGGTCAACGTATAACCGACCGCAAAATATATTGTTTAATTTGGTGATTATTAAGTGTTGAACAAGATTATGAAAATAACCCTTAAATACTTAAACTTTTACTTAACATACTTAAAAAAAATGTAAATTTGGGTATTAGTAAGATAAGCTAACTTTATCTTATTCGAATTTCCTGAAAAGTTCGTCAGGTAGTGACAATAGTACAAAGAACTCAAGTATTAAATTTCAAAATATTCCATCAATTAGTTCGTTAGATATAATAATATACTTATATAAAATGAGCTTCTAGTGAAAGTTCAGTTCCGGGGACCTAATATTCCTGAAAAATTTATAAATTCATGAAATTGAATTCAAATATTTCAATAAATTCAATTCAATTCCTGAATTCAAATAATAAATTTCAAAGAAACTGATTAATTATTTCTTGTTATATGAAAATTATAAAAAGTTTAGTGGATGAAAATTAATTTCTTGCAAAAGTTAGGAAGTTTTTCATATAAAGCATGTATTCGCACAGATCGACAGACCGAAAAGCCAAGAGAACAACATCTCTATATAAAAATAGTTTATCTGCGCTTGCCTACTTATACCCACTGAGAATTGTGTCTCCACCGAATACTCGAAATGAGGAGTTTTGGTGCTTTCACGACACATTCCTTATTGCATTCAACGTGATCGGCAAAAAACGATAAAATTAATTATTAATGTATTTATGTAGGTCATGTAAATAAACATACATACATACATATTTAAACTGATACAAATTATATTATACTAATATATTTATTTATATTTCACAATATAGTGTTTATAATAATTTTTTTTTTTAAATTCTTTAATTTTCATGAAATAAATAAAAAATTCCATAATTTTCTATAGTGGTTTAAAATAAAACATAACATAGAATGGCTTGTTTGTCTATAAGCCCTATTTACATACTGATTGTAGCATAATTCTTACCAATATTTTAAAATATTTAATGAATTTGAATTTATTTTTAACACATAAACAATTATTAGACACGAAGAGTAGATATCGTCTTTGAAGTATTTTACGTAAATACCCATTAAATTCTAAACTACTCCAATGAATTAAATAGCACATTTTTAGAATGCATTCCAAACTTGTTGTATTTTAATTAAATTTATTATATTTGACTTATGTCGAACATGTTTGATTCTTATTAGAATTAGTTGTATTGGTTGTAGATTAAACATTTCATATTTGAATTTCTATTATATTTAAAAATAATCTATTATTTTTTTAACACTCTGTTTATATTTTATATTTAAAAAACTTAAGTGTATCCTTTCCTATTAACAAGCTTTCATTATTAATTAGAGATCAATTAGAAAATTTTTTGATTTTTCTTCATTTGACTGATTTTTATTATATACATATATGTTCTTTTGAAAATTTTATCCGAATAATTTAAAGTCTAAAAGATAAAAACTTGATCGGATTATTTTCAAATGAAAAGGTAAAAGTCACGGTAAGAAAAAAATTAAAAATGAACAAGAAAAAATTTTCAATGAATTCAGATTGTATAGAAAATATGCTACGAGTATTGGACTTGGAAGAATAGAATTTCCTTTTTTTTTTTTTTTTGGATTTTTCGTTTGTTTTTCTTCAAAAATAGAAGTATGACACTACCGTGAGAAGATTTATTTTTTTTCAAAAACAAAATACATTTGAGGATTTAATGGGAGATGGTAACAAAATATAGTACTCACAATTTAGATAGAATTGGTAAATAAATGGTATTTGCAATTGTAAAAAAAATTGATGAGGCTTTATATTTAATTTATCACTGGTTTTAAATTTTATATAACTTGCTTTGTTAACTTGGATTTTCAATTCAATTTTAATTTTTAATACTTAATACTTTTATGCTAAACTGATGAGTTGAAGTGAAATGAAACCAAAATAGATGTTGATCTGAGTAGGTTTACCTTCAACATGTTTTAAAATCAAATTTAAAATCAACTTGCCGTGTTCAATAATAACATATACTATTTGAATGGTTATATGAACTGAATTATTCTTGGATCGACATTTAAATGTTTGTTCTATATGTCTAAATCAAAAATACTTAATTTTCAATGAAGAACAATTCCTCGCAATGTTAATTGAAATTCAACCAAAATATTTGTTTTATTTTTTTTTTTGGTTTTATTTAAAAATTTTTTGTTTTCCAAAGAAATCCTTGAAAATTTTCTTTTGGAAAGAGTGCGGTTGTCACTGAATTTTAATTTTGATTTTTATAAGAAATTTTAATTTTCTTTTTTCTGCATTGTTTTTTTTTTATTTTAAATAGTCATTGATCTGAACAGACTTAAGTGGATGGAAAATGAAATATCAACCTCTTTTAATGGAAATTAGAGTTTAATTTTGTTTTCTTTAAAAAAGCAAGTATGTACTTTGTTTTTTTTTTTATCCGCTTTATTATTTATTGTAAATAAGGGAGTTGAATAAAAAATTATCTACTTTTAACTTTTAAAAGAATTTAAAATTAAAAAGAATCATTATGTTAAAATATATAATTAAAAATATTCTTTTGTAAATCAAAATAATGTCTACAATTTTGTTTTATCAATTTTATCAGGTGGAAAAACAGGCGGGATGTGTTAAATTACAGCGGGATTATAAAGAAAATTTAAATATTTTAACGAGATAAATGAAAATTTCAGTTGAATTCTAAATTGTGTTAAAAGTAAAAAAAAAAATTTATTTTACACAGACTGATAATGGTTGTTTAAAATTGAAAAAAAAATATCTTAATTTCAAAGGATTAATTTGAGTTAAAGATCGAGCAGATTAATTTAAAATTTCCAAGCTGTTTGTTTTACTTCAAAATGTTAGTATAAAACCGGAGATCAATCAGAATTGAATAAAAATTACGTGAATATTTAAGAAAAATTTAAATTGCAAAATTCATAATAAAAATTATTTGTCTTGTAGCCTAGAAAACCAAAAATTTACAATACGATAGCGAGGTCCACGGAAATTATTATTTGAATTTTGAGAGGTCAAAATGATTTAAAATGAAGAAATTTATGATAATGAAAATATAAGCGATTTTTTCAATTTTGGTATTTTTAATTAAATCCAAATTGTGTGAAGGTTTTCAAAAATGTCATAACGAAAAGGTAACAATAGTTTATTAAAAATTATAAAAAAAAATTTTTTTTTAGTAATTCTTTAAGGAAATTCTTTATTAAAGCAATTTGAATTTCAGTACCCTCTTTAATGTGAAATGTATAAAACGTGTGGTGCAATTAATCAAAAGCAAAAAGAAAAAAACTTGTGAAATAAAAGCAGTCAAAAAAACAACCGTTATTACATTGAATCTTTACAGTTTTCTCGTGTTGTAATTGTTGTTTGGAATAGAAAACGCCTTTCTTATGTTTCGCAACAACGACGCAAAAAAAAAAAAAGTCATTTTTTTTTTCTGTTGTTTTGTTGCTCTTTTATTTATTATGACAATAATATATGAGAATAACATAAAAAAGGGGCTGAAAACTGAAAATAGATTCTTAAGCCGATTAGTTTTCCATTTTTTTTTTTTCTCGAAAATTTTTTCAACCACAAATACAGAGAAAATACAGAGATAAATTCTGTTCAAGTTAACATGTACTCTTTACACTCATATAATTCCATTTTTAAATGACTCATATGTGAATGATGTAAGATTATTGTATGTTTTAGATTTACGAATCAAATATTTTTTTTTTTATAAAAATTTTGATAGGGATGAGTGACATATAAAATTTTGGTTTTAATTGAATATATTAAACCATGTTCACAAATGCAAATTGAGAAGTACTACTTATATTAAGTCCCAATACCACTACTCTATTTATTTGCCATCATATGATTCAAGATCAATAAAATTATTTTTCGCTTCTTTCTTAACAAAAACGTTTGCGTCTTAAATGGCATATATGCGGCAGAACATGTAAGCCAAGCATCTTAATTTAACATAGTTCGACTTTTATTATTTTGATCTAATTCGACCAGCACTTATACATATTCCCAAACCAAATTTGACTTAGTGTGATCCGAAGACAGAGTACGATACGATTGCTTGAATTGAATGAATTTTAAATACTCTCGAAAGAAGTTTTCATAAGGAATGCTTCACTTTATTTTTCTTAAATATATTTAAATGTTATGCATATAATTAATATATTTTGTAATTCAATTAAGATTCCTTTATTTGACTACAGAATTTTCTAGACGACCTTTTTTCTTTTTTTAAAATTAGGAAATCTTAATTGGGTTCATTAGAATTTTGACTTTTGGTTTTATTTTATAAAGTCTTGATTCTGAAATTTTATTTTTGCTTGCATTTTAAAATTTTCTTCAAAAACTTGTGTTACTTTTATTAAATTAAATGCTACCCATTTTTATTAAAAATTCAATTTTTTTGTAATTCCCACATCATTAACAGTACATGTTATATGTATAAAATTTAAGCCTTCTATTTCTTATATGCACCATACGAGCTATAATATTTTTTTTTAATTTTTATTTTTTAGGTAAAAAATTTGACTATTATGATCCTTTATCACCTGAAGAAAAACCACCTGTACGTCACTGTAATAATGCAAGTAATATATATCATCATTCGACAACAGCAACAGGTGGTCGTGAATTACCATATACACCAGGTCAAACAATTAATCAACATCATTCAGCACGACGAAATTCTAAAACATGTAAATCACGTCCATTACCAAATCCAAATATTATTGCAAGTGGATGTGATGATGATAATATTAATAGTGGTATGGGAATTGGTATTGCTCTTAATAAAACATCGCGTAATAATTGCGATCAAAATTGTGAAAAATCGCAACATAATAATGATACATGTTGCAATAGTAGATATTCACATCATAGTCAACATTCAAATATACATTCACATCAACATCAGCAACAACAACAGCAACAAGAACATCAACAACATTCACCACATTTACTTGATGAATTCCCTACAGGTACAAGAAATATATTTTTAAAAAGAGATTCATGCATGACTGAATCTACTCAATTGTCTGGAGATTCAGGTGAAACTAATGGTACTATTAATACTATGACAACAAGTTTAAGTTGTGAAAGCCCTGTACAATCACAAATGGGTTGTACAGTAAAAATACCTGGCAATGGTGGAAATGGTAAATGTCCAATAAATTCAAATGGTGGAGTTTGTAATAATAAAACATGTAGTAATAGTGGATGTACATCAAGAAATATTAATACTGGTGATTCAAGTAGTTTTGCTAGTAGCAGTAATAATGAAAATTCCAATGGTATAAAAAGAAAAGAAAAAGTTGGACGTAGACATGCAATCAATATTACATCAAATCCAGGATATCAGGTGAATTTTTTTTCTTTTTTTATGATAATGTGATTGCATTTTTTAATTTTATAAAAAGTATTTATTTTCCCTTTTTCGTTAGCTTATTTTATTTGAATTGCACTCGTGATATTGCAATTTTATGCAGTATGTTTGTTTTATGACGTTCATTAATTCGTAAATTTATTTATTTAACTTTAAGATTTGTGGCATTTTAAAGTTTTATACGAGAAGTTTAAACTTTGCATTTTTTATTCTAATTCAACGTATAATAAAGTCTGAAATTGTTTGAGACTTTCAAATATAAATTAATCAAAACATAATTGAAATATGAAATATTAAAATACAGTCTTTCAAAGATCTAAAATTAACATCTCGTAGATACCTGAAAAATATCTCATAGTGATTCTCCGGTGATTTTAAAATCTCCTGTGTAGCCAAAAAGGACGGATTAATTTTATTAAATTCAGTAAATTATGACTCACCACCTTTTGTTTGATTAAAGTTATAAGGAAAACTGCAATTAAAGTAAAAAATAACAAATATTAGATAATGGTATATCTAACGCGATTGTAATCACCTGCTTGGGAGTTGCAACGCTACTATAATCACTTGCTTGTATTTCGATTATAATTTTAGCTTAACATGCCACATTCTACTAGGTAATATCTACTACATATTTTTGTGTAATAATAAACAAAATCACTAGATTGATCGTAAATAGTGAAAATTTATCTACACATACCATTGAATACTCAAATAACTTTCAAATTTAAAATTAAAAATTGTTAATTAAAACTATATTTCCGTGACTGGATAAATTCCCAATTAATGAATTTGTAAACAGTTCTAAAGCATTCAATAAAGGTCATAATGTAATTTTTGGAAAACAGAGTATTTAAGAATAAGAAAAAAAAAAATTAACAAAACAATTGTTTTTTTTTTTAGAGATTTTCAATTCTACTTCAACATTTTCCAATTCCAATGAGATGAATTTGAAATAGACAAAAAGCATGTATACCATGCCAAATAAAAATATCAACAAATAAATCGATAAAATTCTTTATAAAATTTTTTATTCCAATTTTTTTTTTCTTTTTATCAAAGAAAAATTTTTTTTCAATTTTTTAAAAAGTCAAATGGGAATTTGAATAATTTACTTTTTTACACAAACCAATGTAATAGTGTTAAATATACAAAAAAAAAAACCGAAAAGTGTAAAACAAGGTTAATAGGTTTTCAAAAATGATTGGAATTTTTGTTCTTAATTTTAAAAATAAAATCAAAATTTTAGGAATCAATTTTACATTTGACCTTTTAGAATGTGTTGATAAAGTATTGTTCTTTTTATGTCCCATTGAAATTTATTGGTTATGAATTTTTCAGTTCTTATAGCGTGGAAACAGAATTATATCAACGAACCACAATCTACGGGAACTGGTATGCGTTACATTAATAAAAAATGTTGATAACTACAATCATGTAAGCGGTTTCATGTAAACTTTTTATTTATAAAGGAGAATGCCACACCTGAGCCGGTGATATGACATAGTGTAACGACCTGACAAATGTCTAAATTTTTATTCCCTTTTTATTCCCTTTTTATTATAAATTTGTAACGCTAAGAAATAATGGTCTGAGATATAGACTTAAATATATGTCTTCGATCCACATCATATTCTGAGTTGATCTAATAAGGTATGTCCGACATGTGCGTCCGTTCGTATATGTGTCATAATGACAGTATTGTAATTAGATTTGACCGAGGCAGTGGTTTTGGATAGATAGCTTATTGCTTTAAAAGTTATTTGTTTATAAACCTACAGTACTAAAATTATTTTCGTGCAAACGTGAATTTTCGAAGGAAGAAATATTATAAATTTGTCACTTCGTTCGTAACCATGTGTAAAACAAAATCAGCATAATTAAAGTCATAATCAGTCCATTGTCAGATATGTCATATTTGCTTGCCTATAGAATTACAAGTTCATACTGGTATCACAGACTTGACATGTTCCACTCTATTTTTTCTCGTTTTGTTTACCGTTTTTAATTTTCTTAATTACTTTTAAAATTACTTTTGCTTTCATTTGCTGCCGTGATTTAGTTTACGCAGCTTCAAAAAAAAACTGCTCAATTTTAATAATAGTTTTATATTTTTGGATCAAAGTGACCATATAACATCATGAATTTTTTGATACAAATTTCTTTGTAATTCATTTTGTGTAGGTTTATATTTAATATTTAAGGAATAAAACCCGATTTAGAGATATTTGTTTTAGAAATATTTTTCAACATACTAATACATATGTATGTATGCATGTAACATACATAAATTATTAATTTATTAAATTCTTAAGTTAACAAATATTTTTCTAAGAAATCATAAATTCTTTTTTTATGAAAACATAAATAAATTTAAATATACAAAAAAAAAGTTAAAACCTTGGAACTTTATCTACTCAAAAAATTCTAAATTATACTATATATAAAATATCCTTTATCAACAAAATAACATCCTTCAAAATAATTCATTTTTACATTTTAAATATATATTTACTTACATACATATATGTACAACAATCCTTGACTAACAAAGACAAAAAAATAAAGAAAATAAAAAAAAAGATATTTTTTAAAATAACATAAAAAACCACTTATTTTATAATATTTTCTTCTCCTATTCATACATAATTATACGATATAGTACAAACATATATGTATTAACAAATAAATAATTTTTATATTTTTTTATATATAGGTTTTACATAGTTCACATTCAACATTAGACCGTACATGCTCTGACAGTGTTGTGTCATTACGTTATCGTAAATCAACAAGTGATTTAACAAATATGGATGATTGTTGTAATGGTATTAATATCGGTGGCTATAATAAATCCATGTCTTCATCAACAAAACAGATACGAAGACGTGGTAGCTCAAAAGGTGGTCTTGCATATTTAGCAAGTCGTCGCAGTTCAAGGGAATCAATTAAAAGTGCTTGTTCAAATGCATCAATATTCTCGAATGAAGATGTTGGTCCATTAACATTTCAATCATCAACAAGGGGACGTCAAAGAAGGACATCAAATTTTCTTGAATTGCCTGGTAAGTGTTTTTCTTACTTTTGTTATATTTTAGAAGCATTAAAAATTTGTATATGAATTTCTCTAAAGAACTTAAGATTTAGTTTCTGGAATCTAATGAAATAATGTCTCTTAGCGTTAAGTAACTTACTAGATTACCTCTTTGAAATCTGGGCGATTCTGTTCTTAACTATCATCTGCTATTTCACATGTCCACTATGATTAATTTTTCGGCTGCTGCTATTTTTTTTTTCGTTTTGCTTCATCTATATTTTGCACTCGAAAAATTATGAAACACGATATCCCTCGATGCGCCTACGTTTAAAGTTCCTCACTTTCCTTATTTTGTCTATAGGTAGGCACGAATTGGTATTTACTATCCCACAAGAATTATATTGCTTATTATAAGCTGATTTCACGCCAATATTAATCTCATCGTCCATTTGCCTCTATATTCACTACTCCACTACTACTTATATAAAGCTGCATCGTCAATAATTCTAATTTTTATTATTGTATTTAATTACTGGAATTACGGATTGTAAAAATATTTTTCTAGTTTTGCAAAAAATTACTTTCTAACCGCATCGAAATTCGTGTTTATATTTCATGGTAGTACAATTATAGTTCTATACATACTACAACTATATATAAATTAATTATGAAAGCAATAATATCATATTATATTGTACATGTTTAATAAATATTCAAATAATAATAACAAAATTTGTAAAATATTAACCTAAAATTTAATTACCTTAAATATAAAATTACGCATTTTCTCATAGCAGACTAACACAAATCAAAAAAATATAAAACTTGTGTGGGTATACAAAAGCTATTTATCAATTTAGTATTTTTAGTCTTTATTTCAGTTCATCAATCAAATATTTAATGTTTTGAACAAAAATTAACTTAAATAAATTATTTATGTGTGCTTGTTATACACAAATGCATGAAAGTAAAATAAATTTCCAAATTCCTAAAGTACTCTCCAATATTTTCTTTTTTGAACCCCAAAATTTCATTAGGCATAATTTATTTAGTTTAGAATTGTTAAATACAATTTTACGTTAACAACATTCCTACATACAAATATATATACATTCATTGTAAATTTTTAATAAGATTTTTAGAGGTTCTTGTAATTTGTATTCTGGTCCCCATTCTTTTTAGTTAACATTTATAATTTATTAGTAAAACTAGTATAAAAGAAATATATTCAAAGAAGAAGAAATAAAAAAAAATTTTCATATATACAAGTATAATAATACAATAAGAGTAATTAATTTAAATTTTGTAATGTAATCCTGGTATTTAAATATAATAAGATAAACTAATTATAATTTTTGAGACAAAAACATTTTTCTTTTTCCATTAGTTTTTATTTTTCTACATGTTTTTCTTTGGTATTTCTGTGCTAAAAATATAAAAATAAACATGAAAGTTCCCTTCTAATCACTAAATTTTCTACATTAATTTTTATATGTACGGTATATAAGGACAGAAAAAAGAAGGACCTCCATCAAATTATACTTTAAGAATAGAAATAAACGAACTGTATAGTTTAATCTTTATAATATAATTAGAAAGGGACAACAAATAATTTTCAGTTTTATTTTTATATGCAAAATGTATATAGGTACAAATCTAAAATATATATACTTCCCTTCATATATACATACAAATATATATGTACATATTCCATTGAATGATAAAAGAACAAAAACAAATCAACACATCAAATATACAAGTTTCATACAATTTACGTATCATACTTTGTTTGATTAATAAATGAATGACGGCCATTTTTAATGATAACAAACTAAAAAAATGCGATGTGTTCAGCATATAAGCTATCGCAATATATTGTGTCTAGTTTAGTGAAAATATTACAGAAGATTATGAAAATGCGTTTTAAACAATTTTTTACAATTTCAATGACACTAGTAAGCTTTTAGTTAACATTCCTCTTAAAAATGTAAATTTGACTCTAAGTAGAGTCTCGTTTTATGCCATTCGAATTCCTTGAAATATATGCCAATTAGTTTCGGTAACAACCAGGACTCAAATATTAAATTTTAAAAAATTCCATCAGTTAGTTCCGTAGATCTGATAAAAAATATGAAATCTGCCCCCAGTTTGGTTTCTGAGCCCTGATCTCTTCAAAAAATTTATATGTTCCTATTATTAAATATTATTTATTTAATTATTTCATGGAAATTGGTTGATTATTACTTTTTATTATTGGTTGATTGTATGCGCAAAAATGTAAATTGGGCCCGCAAGAGGATCCAGTTCCTGATGTATCCCAAAAGCTGATCAATCCGTGACATAGCCGAAATAAACTCATATAATATATAATATTTTATTAAAATATGTTCGTAGAGGCTGAGAAACCAACAGACCGACATCTCTCTAAAAATAGTTTATTTATGCTTCTCTACTATACAGCAGTGCGTTCACATTGAAAACCCGAAATACGAAATTTGACGTCATCATATAGTCTCCCTTATTGTATGAAATGCGGTCTGTAACAATTGTTTTTATTATTATTATTGTTTTATAGTGAAATTAAAAATAACAGCGAATGATTTTTAATTTAAAGTTGTAATTTAGGCATAAAATTCATAAAATAAAAATATAATTATTAAAAATAATAAAAGAATTCTATACAAAAATAAAAAAAAACGAGCGTTTCTTGGCAAAAAAGAAAGAAGAAAATGATCAAAAATTTTTAAAAAAATAAATTTGTTAATTAAAATTTTTATTTTTCTTTTAAATTGAAAAAGAAATTCTATTTAAAAAATTAATAGTTTTGTACACTATTGTAGGGTCTAATGTACGCAAATTTACAATAAGAATTTATTAATTTTATTTTTTTATTTATTGAAAACTATCTTTAGTGTTATTACGAGTATAAGACAAAATTAGGTTTTTTAGTCGAATTTTTTAATTTTTGACCTTTTGTATATTTAAAAAGAGGTGCATATGAAAATTACGGTCAATGTCTTTCGCATTACATATAGGAATTTTTACTAATACCTATGTACATTGTAAAATTTCTCTTGAAAAAAAAATGAGAATATTAGAAGAATTTGAGAGTTAGGTAAAATAGCTCTTTAATTTATTGATGTTTGTCCTTTTTTTAATTACACGCACTACTCTTTTGTGAAGTTCATCATTTGCTCTTAAATTTAAATATTATGATGATAGTATTTTTGCAATTCTTGATTGTTTTGTGGCATAAATGTTGTAATTTCAAGAGATACGGATATGAGGACATTAAAGAGATTTTAAAGAGATAACTTGATGCAAATTGTTTTTAACCTTATTTAGAATGTAAGGAGCGTAATAAAACTAGAACTAATTATAAAAGAGAGAATATTTTTTTTAAATAAATTAAAATATGAGAATTAATTTTGGCTCTTCACTTATATATTTCTCAATTTTATATATGAATAAAAATTGTTAAATGGAATTTCTACTTTATAATGCATTACAAAAATAATATATTTATTTATTGCGCTTTATAAAAGAGATAATGTAATTATTATTAAAGTATTTGTGATGAAAATGAAATCAAACCAACAAAAGAAACACACACAATAAAAAAAAAAACAATATCATGCCGCAACATAAAATATTTTGTAATTTCTCGGAAATGATTTTTATAATTTTTTTTTAACGCATTATCACAATCTAACTAAAAGAAATTTTGAATTAAAAACACAACAACAGAAGAAAACCAAAACAAAAAAAAAAAATAATAATTTCATTTTTCCTTTTGATTTCTTTCAAGGACAACAAATTAATCATCCTTATCAAATTAAAAAAGGCGACTGCTAATTAAATGATTACAGTAAAACAAAAAACAAATTAAAAAACAAAAAGAGAGGAACAAAAATTTCATTTCAAAAAAAAAAAATTTAAACAAAACTGCGAGATTGTGAGATTTATTCACTTCATAAAGTTGAAAGCGAGTCCTTTTTGTTTTTTGTTTTTCTTTAAAAGAATTTTAATGTTCATTTATGTGATTATTTTGTGTTTGTTTAATTTTTACCACGTTTTTAAAGTATAAAAACAATACTTGGACAAAATAAAGTTTTTTTTTGTTTTCTGTAAAAAAACCAAAAGAAATTTCAATTACATGCGAAAAGAAAACAAAGAACAAGAAAAAGAACGAAAATGTCGTAACAGAAAAGGTTTTTTTTTGTTTTTGTTTGTTGCTTTTCTGGTTGTTTTTTTGATGGACCCTTAAATCTCAATTATGAAAGAAATTTTCATTAAATTTTAATATTTTTTTTCTGTTTTTTACTCTCGTTGTCTAAACTTATAAGTGTGGCTTTTCATTCAAATTTTCCTTTATTTGATCCTTTTTTTTTGTTCTAGAAGAATCTAGCCATAATTTTATAATTTTGTTATTTTTTTTCTAATATTTGATGTGGTTGTTTTTTTTCTTTTAAACTAGGGTTAATGGCATTTAATATATGAAATTTTAATAAGAATGAATTCGTTTTTGAAAATGGAGTTTATGCTAAGAATTCACAGTTTCAAGTAAAAAATTATTAGTTATTTTTCATAAAATTTGGGTGCTTTTCAAAAGTTTAGTCGAAAATTTGCTGAAGCTTAAGAGCATTTCATTAATATTGTTAAGGAATCTATGAAATTTCGCAGGATTTGAAAATATTTCTCATATTACTATATTTTAGACGGCCCAAATTTGAAAAATTCAGTTTTTTTCCATGATATTTTTATGCTATGCGACTGTGTTAATAACAAAGAAAATTAAGGCCAAGACTGAAATCGTAAATTGTATAAATTTATTTGCTATGTGCTATGATTTTTTATAATGTAAAGTTTACAATTCGGACGGAAATCGCTTGTTGTAATTAGTAAGTTATCAATTACTTAACTAAAATTATATAAACATATATGCAATTTCATTATTTTAAATATGTAAGAAATTTTTACATATAGTCCTAATATGAATTGGGAACTTTTTTAAATTGAAATTTTAAA